GGAGTCGAGGGAGGGCCGGGGCAGGGCTGCGACAGGTCCGGGACTGGGTCGGGGCCGTGACAGGGCCGGGACAGGGTCGGGGCCGAGCAGGGTCCGGGACGAGGCAGCAACGGGGCCGGGACAGGGTCGGGGCCGGGGCAGGTCCGGGACGGGGCCGCGACGGGGCCGGGGTAGGGCCGGGACAGGGTCGGGGCCGGGGCAGGTCCGGGACGGGGTCGGGGCCGGGGCAGGTCCGGGACGGGGCCGCGACGGGGCCGGGGTAGGGCCGGGATAGGGTCGGGGCCAGGGCAGGTCCGGGATGGGGCCGAGGCAGGTCAGGGACGGGGCCGCGACAGGGTCGGGGCCGGGGCAGGTCAGGTACGGGGCCGCGACGGGGCCGCGCAGGAGCCGCGTAGGGGCCGCGTAGGGGCCGCGTCAGGTACGGGGCCGCGACGGGGCCGTGTAGGGGCGGCGTAGGGGCCGCGTAGGGGCCGCGTAGGGGCCGCGTAGGGGCCGCGTAGGGGCGGCGCAGGAGCCGTGTAGGGGCCGCGTAGGGGCCGCGTCAGGTACGGGGCCGCGACGGGGCCGTGTAGGGGCGGCGTAGGGGCCGCGTAGGGGCCGCGTAGGGGCCGCGTAGGGGCCGCGTAGGGGCGCGCTAGGCGCCGGGTAGGGGTCGCGTGGGGGCCGCGTAGGTGCCGCGAAGGGGCGCGCTAGGCGACGAAGGGGCCACGTAGGGGCCGCTAAAAAAAAAAATTTAGGGCAGGGCGCGAGACTCGCTTCGGGCAGCTAAAAAAAAAATTGTTATGGTGGGCCATTAGGAAGGAACGGTCCCATGAGGGAACCCGCTCTGATACCATGTGAAAATCAACAAGAATGAATGGACTAGGAAAGTGTGAGATACAAATATAAAACCTGTACCCCTTAGTGTCTACCCCACTACAGCCTACATAGGCTAAGGCATATATATCTGACACTGCGCAGCTATCTTGGCCTGCAGATCACCCGGGACAGAGCACGGCGCACCATCACACTGACTCAGTCACACCTGGTGCACCAGGTCCTTCAGCGCTTTGGCTTCCAGTTCTCCTCGCCACAGCCCACCCCTCTGTCTGCCAGCCACTCGCTCTCAGCTCCACCTTCGGACGAGTCCGTAGAGCCGAGTGGTCCGTACCCAGAGCTTGTGGGTTGCCTCATGTACCTGATGACTTGCACACGACCTGACCTCGCGTACCCTCTCAGCCTTCTTGCTCGCTACGTGGCTCCCGGTAGGCACTGAAAGGTGCACTGGGATGCTGCGAAGAGGGTACTGCGTTACTTGTGCAGTACGTCGGGCATGGGGCTCGTGCTTGGAGGACGGGGTCCAGTTGTTCTCACCGGTCACGCAGACGCCTCCTGAGTTGACGACTCAGCTACGCAGCGGTCGTCACAGGGTTACACCTTCAGTCTTGGTTCTGGCTCTGTGTCGTGGCGGTCTACTCGCTCGTCTTCGGTTCTCAGCTCCAGTTGTGAGGCTGAGATCTACGCCGATGCTATGGCTGCTCAGGAGCTCCGTTGGCTGGCCTACTTGCTGACCGACTTGGGAGAGCAGCCTCGTTCTCCTCCAGTTCTGTACGTAGACAACAAGGCCATGATTGCCTTGTGTCAGGAGCACAGACTGGAGCACAGAACGAAGCACATCGCTCTGCGATACTTCCTTGCTCGAGAGTTGCAGCAGCGTGGCCAGCTTCGTCTCGGGCCAACACTGCCGATGTCTTCACCAAGGCACTTCCGCCTGGTGATCATCAGCGCTTTGCTACTCTGTTAGGCCTTGTGCCCACTTTGCCTCACTTACTTACTGCTTGACTCTGCTTGTACTGTGATCTATATATATACCTGCATGCTTGCACTTGCTGGGGTATGATCACTGTATTGTTTGTTCTCTTTATATAACTCTGGATGTGAACTGGCCTTGTGGCCCTTTGCTTGTGCTCGGACTGTGTGGTGACTTTGTGATCCACCCTGAGCTTGCTTTGCTTTTCTTGACTGGTCTTGTGACCACTTGTTCTCCCCCACTTTGCCTATGGGGGGGTGTCAGAACATTATGGCTTATACATTTGTGTAGGCTGTAGTGGGGTAGCCCATAAGGGGTACAACCCAATTAGGGTTAGTACTTGTACCCAACTGTTTCATAGTTCATTCATTATCCTTCGTTAGTTTGACAGGAAGTTGGGAACTAGGGAGTAGGGAAGAAAAACTCGGAGACTGCAACAAAATGAGAACGCACTCAGCGTATTTGCTGTTTGCCATCCCCTCCACCGAGACAGACTCGGGTGCAAGGGCGACGAGGCAGGGCGTGTTCCGCGACGGCGGTAGGAGGAGCTTATGGCAGAGGGCGGCGGGGCCCTATATTACTGGTTGGTTGCATGAGGTGGGGAGCCCTGCATGCAGCTGAAAGGCCCCTCTCAAGGAGCGGGAGGGGGCGTTCGACACATCACCACGGTCGAGCGCCAACCGAAACAGGCCCCGTCGAGGGCGAGAGCGGTGGAGCGCGGCGCAGATGGGTGTCGCTTCCGTCCGCTCGCGAGAATTCGCGGACGGGTTCCGTCGGCGAGGCGACGCCCGGCGAGGGTTCCGTGGGTTACCGGACGGAACCCGTATACGAACCAAGGTTGGGGTTCGGTTCGGTTGGGGGGGGCCGCTGGCAGCTGGCGCCAGCTGGGGGTGCCTGTTTCCGGGCGGGGGGGGGGGGGGGGGGTCGGCTCCTGCCCCTCGCGTGCTTCGCTAGGCGACTGCGGGAAAACGGAAATCCCTCCAGGGAAATCCCGCAGGGGCAAAAGCGGGTTCCCGGAGGGATTCGCCTGATATCTTCCCCAGGAAGGAGTTAGCATTGTTGCCTTCCACATTTCCTCTCTTCACTACTTACTAAGCGCGGAACCTGCAAAAAAGGCAATGGCTACGACTAGAGTTCTGCCTGAGGGCACCGCTGACGAACAGAGTGCTTTCCCAGCAGCAGTAGTAGCAGCAACGGATGTAGAAACAGATACGGCACGAGTTTCTCGGGTGACTGGACTTCCAAGCATTCACATTTTCCGTTTGGAGCAATGGCCGTCTGCTTCCAACGAGAGTGTAGAGTCTAATTATTATCAGCAGGAGCAGCAGCAGCAGGAGCGCAAAACAGCGGATTTTCCTGATGTAGACTCATTGAAAACGGAATTTCCACGGTCCCTTTCCCCAGCCTCCCCGCACTCATTTCCTCGGAACAGCTGTGGTCGTAAACAATTAGCGTTTTACCCGCGAAGTCCGTTAAACTTTCAGCCGACATTCTTGAGAATGTTTTTCGACTGCTGCAACGACCCGAACACGTGCATGCAGTCAGCACCGTCTGCAAGGAATGGCGCGACGTCTTTGAGAGTCGAACCCGCGACTTCTCAGTTGTTTACGACTTGCGGAGCGCGCGTTGGGAGCCTTGTTTCCGTGACGTTAGCAACTGCAGCTTTGTCTCACGGTGGCATCCGGGAATGGAGAAGTTATGGATTCTAGACGACCCGCCACTGTGCATGCCACAGCACGTACGCTTCATAAGCAAGAACCCTTGGTTCACCCCGACGCTAGTATAGGAACTTATCCTGTCCCAGAACTTTCGACAGCTCGACTCAGCGATTGTTTCTCCCGACGGAAAGCAGGTCGGCGCCTTGATTAGACGGTTTCCAAACCTGACGTCCGTCAACATCCCAATCTTTGTCGACAAGGTTTCTGACCCGCAGGGTTCGTTCCTTAAAGCGACGGGCAACTTTTGGCAGTGTTGGGTTCAGAAGTTTTTTTTTTGAACCAGGCTTGCCAGCGCGAAAGTGCTGGCTGGCGAAAACCAGGATTTCGTGCGGACACTTTCCATCCGCAGTAACAGTTCGCCAGGGTTCTGGGTTTTGGGTGGCAAATGTGCACCGTCGCTTTAACGATAGTCTGCGTGAAGCGCTATCCGCAATCGCCACGTGTCGCTCGCTCCGCTCTTGCCGGATGCAGATCCGATTTCCCCGAAACTTCTGGTTTCGATCCCAAAGCGCGTTCAACGCCATTCTAACCGAAGGCATCGCCATCATTCTTGATTCCTGCCCGCGCCTCGAGTCGTTCCACGTGCAAACGGACATGCTTACATTCGCCGTGCCTGACAATTTGCCCGATTTGGTAACCGCAATCACTTCCTCCGCCTCGGCAGACGAAGGAAGCTCGGGAGGTTCGGCAGGCTCGGCAGGCTCGGCACTCAGAGGAACAACGGCGGAGTTACCCCTGCCCCCAGAATTGTTACCAGGCCCAAAGCATCGGCGGCAGCGGCTGTCCCATCTCTCCCTTCCTCTGCATCGTCCCCTCTCCGCCTCATTCTCGCCTGCCTCGTTCGCTTCCACGTTCTCTTACCTCCGTTCGCTTCATCTTCACGTCACATGTGCGAACAAGTCGTTTTTCGCCACCTCCGCCCCGTTTTCGCGAATGCGCATGTTACAAGAGATTCGCATATCTTACCACGACCAGCTCAGGTCGAGCTCCGAGGTCCACCCGCAGGTTCGGGCACCAAGCCTCTCCCCAGACCTGTTTTCCGGCTTGGAACATTCGCTTCGGAAGCTGACTCTCAACCTCCGTATCGGATCGCGCAATTTCGATGGCAGCTTGGCTTTTGTACCTGATATCAGACACGACTATCTATTTATCAGATTGCTTCCGGACTCGATATGGGGGCTGGAGCGGCTGGAGGAACTGGAGACGGATTTGTGCAGCAGCAGAGCAGAGGCGCGCGGGCAGGAGAGGCGAGCTGCAGGCGTGTAGCTGGCGAGACGAACCGCGTTGAGAGTGATGGGCTTCAACGACGCTGCTGCTGCTGCTCCTGCTGTTGGGGGGGCTGTGGCGAACATGGGCAACGAGGAGGAGAGTAAGACTCTGGACGAGCCGCGATTCGCGGGCTTGAAGCAGTTGACTTCGTTGACTCTCACTTGGGACCAATGGAAGGCCCCTCCCCTTCCCTCAAGCACCTGCCGAGCCTGACGCGGCTCCACATGCCCCTGGCCGCTCCGAGCCTGAGCTCCAGGCCTGGGGTGGGACTGTGGCATCTGATATCCCTGAAAGACCTCTGCATTTCTGAGGTGGACAGGGGTGGGTTTGGGGAACGGCAGCAGCAGCGGCCGGAGCAGGAGCAGGGTCAGGGGCAAGCCCTGACTCTTGGGCCGTTTCTCCCCCCTGCTCTGGAGTCCCTGACTCTTGGGCCGTTTCTCCCCCCTGCTCTGGAGTCCCTGACTCTTGGGCCGTTTCTCCCCCCTGCTCTGGAGTCCCTGACTCTTGGGCCGTTTCTCCCCCCTGCTCTGGAGTCCCTGACTCTTGGGCCGTTTCTCCCCCCTGCTCTGGAGTCCCTGACTCTTGGGCCGTTTCTCCCCCCTGCTCTGGAGTCCCTGACTCTTGGGCCGTTTCTCCCCCCTGCTCTGGAGTCCCTGACTCTTGGGCCGTTTCTCTCCCCTGCTCTGGAGTCCCTGACTCTTGGGCCGTTTCTCCCCCCTGCTCTGGAGTCCCTGACTCTTGGGCCGTTTCTCCCCCCTGCTCTGGAGTCCCTGACTCTTGGGCCGTTTCTCCCCCCTGCTCTGGAGTCCCTGACTCTTGGGCCGTTTCTCCCCCCTGCTCTGGAGTCCCTGACTCTTGGGCCGTTTCTCCCCCCTGCTCTGGAGTCCCTGACTCTTGGGCCGTTTCTCCCCCCTGCTCTGGAGTCCCTGACTCTTGGGCCGTTTCTCCCCCCTGCTCTGGAGTCCCTGACTCTTGGGCCGTTTCTCCCCCCTGCTCTGGAGTCCCTGACTCTTGGGCCGTTTCTCCCCCCTGCTCTGGAGTCCCTGACTCTTGGGCCGTTTCTCCCCCCTGCTCTGGAGTCCCTGACTCTTGGGCCGTTTCTCCCCCCTGCTCTGGAGTCCCTGACTCTTGGGCCGTTTCTCCCCCCTGCTCTGGAGTCCCTGACTCTTGGGCCGTTTCTCCCCCCTGCTCTGGAGTCCCTGACTCTTGGGCCGTTTCTCCCCCCTGCTCTGGAGTCCCTGACTCAGCACAGACGTCCGTATAACGAGCAGAGCCTGTCCCCTTGGGCCTGCTCTACAATCACACAGCTCAAGTTGGTGAACGTTCTCTGCCCACCAGTCCCGGACTCAGATTGCCTCTTTCCGAACCTGAGGGTCTTCCAAGCCATACGCTCCACTGCTCAGGTTGGGGCTCTGCCGAACCTGAGGCACATGCTTCAGAGGGCCGAGCCTGGTTTCGAGAATCGGCTAAGTGCGCACCCGAACCTGACTTTCCTGCAGGTGGATCACCCAAGCAGCAAATACCCGATCCCACCGATGCCCAGGCTTGAAGTTCTCATCCTCAACCCTCTTCTCGCAGCATCCAGGACCTTGGAGTGCCTCTCTTCATTCACGTCTCTGCGCTTTCTAAGGCTCTCCAACGTGGGATTGAAGAGGGGATGGACCGGAAAAATCACCTTCCCGCCGAAGTTGACAACCTTGGAGATTCACGAGTCAAGCTTTTCATGCCTGCCTAAGAGCTTTGCTGGTTTCCATCGCATCAGGAAGCTGCGGCTGATCTACTGTGAGCAGATGAAGTAGCTGCCAGAGTACCTGGCGGGCTTTAACCGCCTCACAGAGCTCACCATCAGGGGTTGTAAGGGTAAGATCAAGATCCCTCAACGTTTAGAATATGTTTTAGCTCAAGCAAACTTTAACGTGGAAAGGAGTGGAAGGGGGTAATGCGACTTGGAGAAGATTGCTGAATGGCAGGTGTGGTGGTGGGTTGGTTGACAAGCTCGTTTTCCAACCTGTAACAAACTGCTGCACAAACCCTCTTCTAAGAGTGTTAAAAAGGGGCATGAGAAAAATCACCCTTGCAGACTCCATAGATATGTAATTAAAAACATCACTTCGATTGGAATATTCCAATGATTATATGGTGGTACGGGACGGGAGGAGTGTTGAAATAGGTTCTTAGGTTAGGACGTGCTTACAGGAGAACGGGCGGGCTAGGAGGATGTCGAAGGTGTGCAATAGAGAATGGAGAATGGAGGAGATTCACTATAGACATGGAAGAACATACTGTATAGGCATAGCAAGAAGGTGCACCACCAAACCAACACAGAGGATAGAACTACACTACAGTAAATCCTACAAACAGTTAGTTAACACGACAGATAATTATATTCTGACAGGGAAGTATCATATCATGCGGGCGGGAGGTCGGTGCCGTCGTTGAGAGCGCAGCACACAACGGCCTTCTGGTGGCCTTGGTACACTCGCACACAGTTGCCGCTCGCTAGCTCCCTCTCTTCAATAAGCTAAGGTACAAACTAGAAAGCACAGCACACCCAGGTCATCAGGCAGGCGGGAGGTCGGTGCCGTCGTTGAGAGCGCAGCACACAACGGCCTTCTGGTGGCCCTGGTACACTCGCACACAGTTGCCGCTCGCCAGCTCCCACAGCCGCGACGTGCCATCCGAGGAAGCTGCAGAGGTGCAAAAAGGGCAAAAAGGGAGAGGGGGTAAGAGCGGGAAATGGCGGGGGAGGGGGGAGCATCAGGTGGCCCCGGTACACTCGCACACAGTTGCCCGTAGCCAGCTCCCACAGCCGCGACGTGCCATCTGATGACGCTGCACCCAAAAGGGACACATTGGGAGAGGGGCGAGGGCGAGTGGGTGAGGGGGGAACAGAGGCAGAGAACTTTAGGTGGCCCTGGTACACGCGCACACAGTTGCCGCTCGCCAGCTCCCACAAGCGAGATGTGCCGTCCGAGGACGCTGCAGAGGTGCAAAGGGGACAGAGAAGGAGAGGGGGCAAGGGGGGGAGGGGGGCGGGAGTGTCAGGGGGCCCTGGTGAGATGCGCACAGTTGCCACTAGCCAGCTCCCACAGGCGAGATGTGCCACAGTTGCCGATGAAGGTTGCTCCGTTGCTGTCTTTGGCGCCCACTTTGTATTTAACCATGCAATGCTTGAGGATTCCTTTCGAAAATCCTCCATAGCATCATGTACAGTGAGTCTTGAGAATTCCACAAGCACCCCGCACATGCACCCCCCACATGCACCCCCCACATGCACCCCTCTACATGCAGTGCCCGTGTGGAAAACATGCACGTAAGAAGCACATACATACCTGACACGAGGTAGGCCCCATCAATAGAGAACACACAGTCCCACACCCATCTGGCATGGCCTGAGAACGATGTGGAAACACACGGGATGATTGATGCGGATTGTGGGCTTTGGAAGGATGCTGGAAGGAGAACAAAAAAGAGAGAAGCGGATGTAGCAAGAGCAACATGAGCAAGGTGAGCTCCTTGCCACACAAACGCACAATGGCACTACTGTTAGATTATAGCATGCATTTGGCTAGACCTAACAGTGTACACCCAAATCATGGGTGTACGCATTCAGGGGGCCTCCCAACTTCTGGTTGGGTTCCCACAACTAGACATGAGCACAAGGGCGAACACCTGCTCGGTTCGCCTCGAACGTGTTCGAGGCGAACCGAACAGGTTTGTTTTTTTTGCTTAAATTGTTCGCCGAACAGTGTTCGATGCTCGGGCCGCTGCTGCAATTTGCCCCGCGACGAACACGAACGTGTTCGAGGTTCGCCCGAACACGCCTTCACAGGCGAACGGCGAACACGTGTTTTTGCTTAAAGTGTTCGCCGAACCGAACAGTGTTCGGTTCGGCAAACGGATGTGTTCGTCTAGGGGCGAACACGAACATGTTCGTGTTCGCCCCTTGCTCATTCCTACCCACAACCCAAGCGACCATTATTGTTGGGGAGCCAACATTGGTGGCCAACCCTCCAATGTTTGGCTCCTCCAATAATTGGCTCAACCTCAATTATTGGGCTGCACCCCCACCAGATTGGTTAGCCAATAATGGTGTGGGGTAACCCTAACTTTGGTCACTCACCCCATTCCCTATTTGTACTGCTCTTCTTTATCAATATACCAACACTTCAGTTTCTCACATGGTGTCAGAGCAACTACGGCTCACACCATCTTCGATCCTAAGGACCACACCTTCCGCGTGCCGCATCACGCCCCCCTCCCTTACGTGACGCTACGTCGCTCTTTGCGCCTAGTGCGCTCCTACGCCGTCAAGACCCCCCTACCCTTGCGCTGAAGTTCCAGCGCCCCTCCCCCCTTCCTACGGTCAATTCCGCCTCTCACGGCCCTCCCCTCTCTCCCACGAACGCACCCACCGTCGGAACGGCCACGCCAACCGTCGGAACGGCTAGCGCGACCGTCGGAACGGCCAGCGCGACCGTCGGGACGGCCAGCGCGACCGTCGGGACGGCCAGCGCGACCGTCGGGACGGCCAGCGCGACCGACGGGACGGCCAGCGCGACCGTCGGGACGGCCAGCACGACCGTCGGGACAGCCAGCGCGACCATCAGGACTGCCAGCGCGACCGTCGGGACGGCCACGTTGACCCTCGTGACCTAAATCGTGGACGGGCGCCACTGCCATGACGAACGCGGGCGATCGTCGTGACCTAATCCGCCGCCGCCGCTGAATTTCACCGACGCGGAGCAATCCGCCGCCGCCACTGCATTTCGCCGACGCGGAGCAATCCGCCGCCGCCACTGCATTTCGCCGACGCGGAGCAATCATCCGCCCACGCGACCTGCTTTCGTCGCCTCTTGCCGCAGCTGCTACCACTTTCACCACCACACCCTTACATAGCCGCCGCGGCTTCATGTCGCAGCCTCACGCAGTCGCGATGTACCATCGTCGCCGCCTGCTGCTGCTGCGACCCTTACGACGACGTCGTCGCCGCTCTCACCTCCGCGGCCACGACTACTAGCCGCCGCCAACTCACCCCACACTCCCACCGCCTCCTCCTCTCCCCGCTCTCCTCCTTAAGCCCTCCAGGCCTTCTCTCCCCTCGCTTCCTCCTCCTCAGGGCATTCCAGCCCTCCTCCCCCTCGCTTCCTCCTCAGGGCATTCCAGCCCTCCTCCCCCCTCGCTTCCTCCTCCTCAGGGCATTTCAGCCCTCCTCCCCCTCGCTTCCTCCAAAGGGCATTTCAGCCCTCCTCCCCGTCGCTTCCTCCTCCTCAGGGCATTCCAGCCCTCCTCCCCCTCGCTTCCTCCACCTCAGGGCATTCCAGCCCTCCTCCCCCCTCGCTTCCTACTCCTCGGGGCACTTCAGCCCTCCTCCCCCCTCGCTTCCTCCTCCCCAGGGCACTTCAGCCCTCCTCCCCCTCGCTTCCTCCTCCTCAGGGCATTCCAGCCCTCCTCCCCCTCGCTTCCTCCTCCTCAGGGCATTTCAGTCCTCCTCCCCCCTCGCTTCCTCCTCCTCAGAGCACTTCAGCCCTCCTCCCCCCTCACTTCCTCCTCAGGGCATTCCAGCCCTCCTCCCCCATCGCTTCCTCCTCCTCAGGGCATTTCAGCCCTCCTCCCCCTCGCTTCCTCCAAAGGGCATTTCAGCCCTCCTCCCCATCGCTTCCTCCTCCTCAGGGCATTCCAGCCCTCCTCCCCCCTCGCTTCCTCTGTTGTAATTTCATATCTTATACAACATACATAGGCTAGAATTAGATGTGTAGCACATTTATAAATTGGGGGGTTGTTTAGTGTACCCTCCAACCACATTTTGTGGTTGGTTGGGATTGGTCCTTAACTCAACCAATCCCAACCAACACACATTTGTGGTTGCTTGGGCCACAAGCAAGCTCACCCATTGGTCAACATATTGGCCAATCGGGTAAGCTTCCCTCTCATCTCTCTCTTGCTCATTGTTTGTACTAAAGGGCCTCTTGGCTCATTATTCAATTGATAAATTCTCTCCTTCAACATCCTCCTCCTCAGGGCATTCCAGCCCTCCTCCCCCCCTCGCATCCTCCTCCTCAGGGCATTCCAGCCCTCCTCCTCCTCGCTTCCTCCTCCTCGGGCATTCCAGCCCTCCCCCCTCGCTTCCTCCTCCTCAGAGCATTCCAGCCCTCCTCCCCCCTCGCTTCCTCCTCCTCAGGGCATTCTAGCCCTCCTCCTCCCTCGCTTCCTCCTCCTCACGGCATTTCAGCCCTCCTCCCCACTCGCCTCCTCCCTCGTTGGGCCTTTCAGCACCCTTCGGCAACCTCACCTGCAGCACCCCTTGGCCTGCTTGCCTCCTCACCTGCAGCAGCCCCGCTCCTGGCTCGCGTGCGACCTCAACGCCGCAGCACCCCTTGGCCTGCTTGCCACCTCACCTGCAGCAGCCCCGCTCCCGGCTCGCGTGCGACCTCACCGCCGTAGCACCCCTTGGCCTGCTTGCCTCCTCACCTGCAGCAGCCCCGCTCCCGGCTCGCGTGCGACCTCACCGCCGCAGCACCCCTCGGCTGGCTTGCCTCCTCATCTGCAGCAGCCCCCCGCTCCTGGCTGGCGTGCACCATCATCCGCCGCAGCACCCTTCGGCTGGCCTGCCTCCTCATCTGCAGCAGCCCCCCCTCTCTCGGCTGGCGTGCACCATCATCCGCCGCAGCATCTTCGGCTTGCTTGCCTCCTCACCTGCAGCAGCCCCCGCTTCCGGCTCGCGTGCGACCTCATCGCCGCAGCACCCTTTGGCTGGCTTGCTTCTTCACCTGCAGCAGCCCCGCGTGCAGCGACGGACGCTTGCTTGTCGAGGTCACCGCTACACCGGTTCCTCGCTTCAGGGGTTGTTTGGTCTAGCCCTTATCATGCTATGGGGGTGTGTTAGATTATAGCATGCATTTGGCTAGACCTAACAGTGTACACCCAAATCATGGGTGTACGCATTCAGGGGGCCTCCCAACTTCTGGTTGGGTTCCCACAACCCAAGCGACCATTATTGCTGGGGAGCCAACATTGGTGGCCAATCCTCCAATGTTTGGCTCCTCCAATAATTGGCTCAACCTCAATTATTGGGCTGCACCCCCACCAGATTGGTTAGCCAATAATGGTGTGGGGTAACCCTAACTTTGGTCACTCACCCCATTCCCTATTTGTACTGCTCTTCTTTATCAATATACCAACACTTCAGTTTCTCACAACTACTATTTTTCCAGGCATGAAGCTTCCAGGTTTTTACAGAGGTTGGTGGGTTCACCAAGGCGTGGAGTCACGTTTACCTGTGAGTGTTTTCTCCAGGGTAAAGCCATCTGCATTCCATATCTTCACTGTGCCGTCCGCTGATGCTGTAGCGAGGTATCTGATGAAGAGGACGCAGGGGTCAAGAGATATGGAAGAAAACACGGATCAGGGTACGATGGGGTGGAGTGGGTTAAAGCGGGGGAAATTGGGTGATGAGAGGGTAGCGGGGACGTAACGGGGGGGTAGCGGGGTAGTTTTGAGACCGCGGTAGTTTTGAGTAGCGGGGTATGAATGAAGGTATGGGGGACCGGAAACTAGGGGAGTCAAGGGGTAGAAAAAGGGGGTAACGTGGAGATAAAGGGTGGATGTGGAAAGAAATAAGCAGGGAGAGGAGGTGACACGTGCAAGACAGCTAACACTTTTATTCAGCAATAGGAAATAAGAAGCAATCAGAGGCATAGAAGAAAACAATTGTAGTTAGTGGAAATGCATTCCAAATCGCCCTGCAGCCATCCCCAAACCACATGCCTATGACATGCGATGCGATCAGATGGCATGAAGCAATGGCAGCACCGCACACTATTGGGGTCGGAAAACTCGAGCGAGAGAAGGAGCTTGAGCGCATAGCTGCTGTCTTAAAAAAGCAGGCAACAATGGAAGGCAGCCAGCAGCACACCTGTTGGGATCGGAGAACTCGGGCGAGAGTAGGCACTTGAGCACGTGGCTGTTGTGCGCCTGCAGCTTGTGCAGCGGCTCAAAGCTCGCTGCCGTCTGCCCAGGGCGGGTGGGCGGGGGAGGGTGAGTAGCTGTATCAGGAAGGAGGATAATGCAAAAGGTAAGGGGGAGGATGCACAAGGAGGGGCGGAGAATAAGGTAGGGAGGAGAACGCAAACGGTAAGGGGAAGAATGCAAGAGTAGGAGGGGGAGGGGGGAGGGGGTGCAATGGAGGGGGAAAGAATGCACAAACAGGGCTAAGTGAGGAGAGAAGGCAAAGAGCAGGCGCTCTTGCACACATACCTGCACAAACACACTTGCACACACACCTGCAGCACACACGCACTCACACACACGCACTCACACACACGCACTCACACACACGCACTCACACACACGCACTCACACACACGCACTCACACACACGCACATACACACACCCACGCCCACACCCACGCCCACGCCGCTCGCACGCGCACACACAGAAACACACACACACACATACACACACACACTCACACACACACACACACCTGCACACACACACACACACCTGCACACACACGCACACGCTCACGCGTGCAGCGGCACCCGCACACCCACGCCCACGCCCACACCCACGCCCCCACCCCCCGCCCCGCCCCCGCCAACCCCTCCCCCCTCTCTCCCCCCTCCCCCTCCCGCCCGCGCGCACGTGCGCGCGCGCACACACACACACACACAGACACACACACAGACACACACACAGACACACACACAGACACACACACAGACACACACACACACACACACACACTCACACAAAGAGACCTGCACGCACACCTGCACGCACACACACACCTGAGAGCCTGAGGTGAGGCGCCAGACAAAGCAGGTGCCCTTGTTGTTGGCTGCCACGACCATGCTGCCATCCCACATGACTGCCACCGACCTTATGGCCGTGTCCACCTCTGGTACCTGCATGCATGCATGCAGGGGTGATGAGGGGGTTCAACAGAGAGAGAATCGGTGAAAGGTCACAAGGGCAGCACTTGGAAACGGACCGGATACTGCTGTGAGTCAGTCAGTTGCCACATGAATCACTGCCACATGGACCTTATTGCCGTGTCCACTTCTGGCACCTGCACGCATGCACGCAAGCAGACAACAAGGGCACAGGCACCCACACACACCTTGTTGTCTCCTTGCAATCGTCACACCACCCACACGCACGGGCGGTGTGACGGTGGCAAGGAGACAACAAGGCCACAAGGACAGAATTTTATGCTGTCCTACGGTCATACGAGAGCAAGGAAAGAGGGCAGAGAGGAAAGAGTTTTATGTTTCTCCATCATCACCCTACTGGCGTCCCACACCCCTGCCACTGACCGGATTACAGTGTTGCAGAGCTTGGGTACCTGGAGGGGTGGAGTTCACAAGAACCAACGGATTGACTGAATTGACCAGATGGACCGGATTGGCTGGATTGGCTGGTTTGGTCAGATTGAAAAATTGGCCAGATTGACTACATTGTCACGTGGACTCCCCCCCCAGCACGCGGGGGAGAAGGAGGGCGGGTTGTTGGCAAGCAGAGTGCTGCAGTGCAACAAGATTTGAGGCGCCTCAAAAGTCCTCAAGAGGCGCCTCAAAAGTTGCAACAAGAACAGTGCACAGCACATCAGACCTCATAGCACGATTGATGTGGCCCACATCACTGGCACTGACGGGAATGCTGTGTGTTGGGCATCTGACACATGATTGATTGCGCAGGGAGGAATGCGTAAGCGTGAACAGCGCGGAGCAGAGAACAGCACACTGACCCTCACAGTGTGCTGGCAGTGAGGTCCCACACGCGGATGTTGCCCCATGCTTTGACTCCTGTTGACTCTTGTTGACTTGCACTGACTCACCAGTTCACAACTACACGCGTTGGCAGTGAGGTCCCACACGCGGATGTTGCCGTTCTGGTCCCCTGAGATGAGCTCCGTCTGGTTGGGGTGCAGCACCACCGTGTTCACTGCCGCCCGGCTCTCATAGTCCCTCTGGTACAGCGGTGGGGCTCTGAGAGAAAGGGAGAATGTGCGGGAAGGTGGGAACGAACGGAGGAGAAGGGGGAGCATCACTCCGTCTAGTTGTGGTGCAGTGCAGCACCACCGTGGTCACTGCTGCCCGGCTCTCATAGTCCCTTGAGCACAACGGTGGGACTCTGTGAGTCAGGGAGGATGCGCAAGAGGAGGGGGGCGGAAGGAGGAAAAGGGAGGGTATTAGCTCCGTCTGGTTGGGGTGTAGTGCAGCACCACTGTAGTGCAGCACCACTGTTTGCTGGAGAGAGGAGACTGCACCCACCTTCCGTCCTCTCACTGAAATCAAGCAAGGGAGAGGACGGAGGTGGGTTGGAATAAAAAACGAGGGCGGAGGGCAAAGGGACAGGTGTGCAGGATGGAGGATGTAAAGCTGAAAGGATGCAGTTTCAGGACCTGACCTCATGGCCTAATTGCAGGAATTCAAAACGGCCAGGATCTCAGATCGACTGTACTTGGCTGTCAGATGGGGTTCAGATCAAATCATGGCTCCGCCATACCCTCCTCAGGCGCCTGCCAGATCACACTTGCACCACTCATTACCCTACCTGAGGTCCCACATCCCGCAGACCCTACCTGAGGTAACTCCACATCCCGCAGACCCTACCTGAGGTAACTCCACATCCCGCAGACCCTACCTGAGGTAACTCCACATCCCGCAGACCCTACCTGAGGTAACTCCACATCCCGCAGACCCTACCTGAGGTAACTCCACATCCCGCAGACCCTACCTGAGGTAACTCCACATCCCGCAGACCCTACCTGAGGTAACTCCACATCCCGCAGACCCTACCTGAGGTAACTCCACATCCCGCAGACCCTACCTGAGGTAACTCCACATCCCGCAGACCCTACCTGAGGTAACTCCACATCCCGCAGACCCTACCTGAGGTAACTCCACATCCCGCAGACCCTACCTGAGGTAACTCCACATCCCGCAGACCCTACCTGAGGTAACTCCACATCCCGCAGACCCTACCTGAGGTAACTCCACATCCCGCAGACCCTACCTGAGGTAACTCCACATCCCGCAGACCCTACCTGAGGTAACTCCACATCCCGCAGACCCTACCTGAGGTAACTCCACATCCCGCAGACCCTACCTGAGGTAACTCCACATCCCGCAGACCCTACCTGAGGTAACTCCACATCCCGCAGACCCTACCTGAGGTAACTCCACATCCCCCAGACCCTACCTGAGGTCCCAGATCTTGACGGTGCCGTACTCTGAGCCGGAATACATCCACCTGCCGTCGCACTGAAAGCCATGCGAATGCCTCAACCCATGTGCATGTACCTGATGTCCCACACCACATCTGCACTGCCCCCACCTGAGGTCCCAGATCTTGACGGTGCCGTCCTCAGAGCCCGAGTACATCCAGCGGCCGTCGCACTGAAAGCCAACTGCTGTCACGTTGTTGGTGTGCCCGTCGTAGCTCATCACCTGGTGAGGGGGGGGGGGGGGGAGAGGGGTGGAGGCGAGGGGGGCAAGTGGGGTGGTGTGGAGGGGGAAAGGAGGGGTTGTGGCAGAGGGGTTGGGGTAATGCGCACTGAAATCCCACTGCTGCCTCGTTGGTGTGGCCGCTGTAGCTCATCACCTGGAGGGGGGCAAGGCGAGGGGGGCAAGAGGAGTGGTGCGAAGGGGTTGGGGTAATGCGCACGGAAAGCCCATGGCCATCACCTGGTGCGGGGCGGGGGGGGGGCAGACGGGACGACTGGTGGCGTGGGGGGGTGGAGGAAGGGTTATGGCAGAGGGAATGGCATAGGAATTAGGCACTAGGCACTGAAAGCCAACCACCCTCACGTTGTTGGTGTGCCCATCGTAGCTCATCACCCGGTGGGGGCCAAGGCGAGGGGGCCAAGAGGAGTGGTGTGTGTGGTGGAGGGGGAAAGGAAGGGTTGTGGCGGCTGGGTTGACGTAATGCGCACTGAAAGCCTACGGCTGTCACGTTGTTGGTGTGGCCGTCGTAGCTCATCACCTGGGAGGGGTGGAAGAAAGGGGCAGTCCGGTCAGGAAGAGGGGGGTGGGTGGAGACGGGAAGCAAGGGTTGTGGCGGAGGCACGTAGCACTGAAGCCCACTGATGTCACGCTGTTGGTGTGCCTGTCATAGCTCATCACCTGGGAGGGGGGAGTAGTGGGCTGGCCGAGTGGGGTGGAGGGGGAAGGAAGGGTGGTGGCGTAGGGGAGGCACTCAGAACTGAAAACCCACCGCTGTCACGTTATTGGTGTGCCTGTCGCAGCGCATCACCTGGCGCGGGGCGAGGGAGGCAGACTGGACGAGTGGTGGCGTGGGGGGGAGGAGGAAGAGTTATGGCAGAGGGAATGGCGTAGGGGATGAGGCATTCAACACTGAAAGCCCACGGCTGTCACGTTGTTGGTGTGCCCGTCGTAGCTCATCACCTGTGAGGGGTGGGGGGTGAGAGAGAGAGGGGAGGAAAGGGTTGTGGCAGAGGGAATTGGGGATGGATTGAGGTAATACGCACCGAAAGCTCACCGCCGTTAAATTTTTGGTGTGCCCGTCGTAACTCATCACCTGGTGCGGGGTGAGCGAGACAGGACAGGTGGGAGGCATCAACATACATGGTGCTGAGTACAATCTGCTGTACATTCATCCATGCATGGTTGATGCTGCATACCATTCCTTGCAACAAAGCAGCTCATGACAGCCCTAAGTGGCAGCCCTACGATACCAGCTGTGGCTGCCTGGCTGCTGGGAGGACAGCCCTAAGTGGGAGTTGGCAGCAGCAGCAGCTATTGCAACACTGTCGCAACACCGTGCAGCGCATGGTATGGCATGTGGCATGGCGTGGCATGGCATGGCATGGCATGGCATGGCACGGTGCTGATACATACCGGCTGTGGCTGGTTGGAGTCGATTTGGAAGAGGCGGATCTGCGGGTTGCCAGCAGCCGCCAGGAACCTCTTGTCCGGCATGATCTCCATGCGGTTCACCTGCTGTGCTGGTGCAGGGGGGGGGGGGCGGGGGGGAGAGGGGTGGAGGGAGGAGAGTAGGGGATGGGGGGGTGCAGGTGCGGAGTTGAATGTGGAAGGTGATGGTTCTCGAGCCTCTTGTCCGGCATGATCTCCATGCGGTTCACCTGCTGTGCTGGTGCAAGGGGGGGGGGGGGTGGGGGGGGGGAGACGAGGATGTGGGGGTGCAGGTGCGGGGGTGAATGTGGGGGGGATGGTTATTGGAACATCTTGTCCGGCATGATCTCCATGCGGTTCACCTGCTGCTCTGGTGTAATGGGGGGGGGAGATGTGGGGACGAACGGGGAGTAAATGTGGGAGGGCGGGGAGGGGGGGAATGAGTGCGTGTGGGGAACCGTTATTGGAACCTCTTGTGTGGCATGACCTCCATGCGATTCACGTGCTGCTCTGGTGCACCCGGGGGAAGGACGTGCGGAGGACAACGGGGGAGTGAATGTGGGAGGCCGGGGAAGGGGAGGGGTGGGTGCGTGGGGGGGATGGTTCTTGGAACCTGTTGTCTGGCATGTGCTGCTCTTGAGCCATGGGTGGGGGAGGGAGGGACAGGAGCGAGAGTGAATGTGTGGGGGAGGGACAGGAGCGAGACTGAATGGGTGGGGGAGGGACAGGAGCAAGAGTGAATGGGTGGGGGAGGGACAGGAGCGAGAGTGAATGGGTGGGGGAGGGACAGGAGCGAGAGTGAATGGGTGGGGGAGGGACAGGAGCGAGACTGAATGGGTGGGGGAGGGACAGGAGCGAGACTGAATGGGTGGGGGAGGGACAGGAGCGAGAGTGAATGGGTGGGGGAGGGACAGGAGCGAGAGTGAATGGGTGGGGGAGGGACAGGAGCGAGAGTGAATGGGTGGGGGAGAGACAGGAGCGAGAGTGAATGGGTGGGGGAGGGACAGGAGCAAGAGTGAATGGGTGGGGGAGGGACAGGAGCGAGACTGAATGGGTGGGGGAGGGACAGGAGCGAGAGTGAATGGGTGGGGGAGGGACAGGAGCGAGACTGAATGGGTGGGGGAGGGACAGGAGCAAGAGTGAATGGGTGGGGGAGGGACAGGAGCGAGACTGAATGGGTGGGGGAGGGACAGGAGCGAGAGTGAATGGGTGGGGGAGGGACAGGAGCGAGACTGAATGGGTGGGGGAGGGACAGGAGCGAGACTGAATGGGTGGGGGAGGGACAGGAGCGAGAGTGAATGGGTGGGGGAGGGACAGGAGCGAGAGTGAATGGGTGGGGGAGGGACAGGAGCGAGAGTGAATGGGTGGGGGAGAGACAGGAGCGAGAGTGAATGGGTGGGGGAGGGACAGGAGCGAGACTGAATGGGTGGGGGAGGGACAGGAGCGAGACTGAATGGGTGGGGGAGGGACAGGAGCGAGAGTGAATGGGTGGGGGAGGGACAGGAGCGAGACTGAATGGGTGGGGGAGGGACAGGAGCAAGAGTGAATGGGTGGGGGAGGGACAGGAGCGAGACTGAATGGGTGGGGGAGGGACAGGAGCGAGACTGAATGGGTGGGGGAGGGACAGGAGCGAGAGTGAATGGGTGGGGGAGGGACAGGAGCGAGAGTGAATGGGTGGGGGAGGGACAGGAGCGAGACTGAATGGGTGGGGGAGGGACAGGAGCGAGACTGAATGGGTGGGGGAGGGACAGGAGCGAGAGTGAATGGGTGGGGGAGGGACAGGAGCGAGAGTGAATGGGTGGGGGAGGGACAGGAGCGAGAGTGAATGGGTGGGGGAGGGACAGGAGCGAGAGTGAATGGGTGGGGGAGGGACAGGAGCGAGACTGAATGGGTGGGGGAGGGACAGGAGCGAGACTGAATGGGTGGGGGAGGGACAGGAGCAAGAGTGAATGGGTGGGGGAGGGACAGGAGCGAGACTGAATGGGTGGGGGAGGGACAGGAGCGAGAGTGAATGGGTGGGGGAGGGACAGGAGCGAGAGTGAATGGGTGGGGGAGGGACAGGAGCGAGACTGAATGGGTGGGGGAGGGACAGGAGCGAGAGTGAATGGGTGGGGGAGGGACAGGAGCGAGAGTGAATGGGTGGGGGAGGGACAGGAGCGAGAGTGAATGGGTGGGGGAGGGACAGGAGCGAGAGTGAATGGGTGGGGGAGGGACAGGAGCGAGACTGAATGGGTGGGGGAGGGACAGGAGCGAGAGTGAATGGGTGGGGGAGGGACAGGAGCGAGACTGAATGGGTGGGGGAGGGACAGGAGCAAGAGTGAATGGGTGGGGGAGGGACAGGAGCGAGAGTGAATGGGTGGGGGAGGGACAGGAGCGAGAGTGAATGGGTGGGGGAGGGACAGGAGCGAGACTGAATGGGTGGGGGAGGGACAGGAGCGAGAGTGAATGGGTGGGGGAGGGACAGGAGCGAGAGTGAATGGGTGGGGGAGGGACAGGAGCGAGAGTGAATGGGTGGGGGAGAGACAGGAGCGAGAGTGAATGGGTGGGGGAGGGACAGGAGCAAGAGTGAATGGGTGGGGGAGGGACAGGAGCGAGACTGAATGGGTGGGGGAGGGACAGGAGCGAGAGTGAATGGGTGGGGGAGGGACAGGAGCGAGACTGAATGGGTGGGGGAGGGACAGGAGCAAGAGTGAATGGGTGGGGGAGGGACAGGAGCGAGACTGAATGGGTGGGGGAGGGACAGGAGCGAGAGTGAATGGGTGGGGGAGGGACAGGAGCGAGACTGAATGGGTGGGGGAGGGACAGGAGCGAGACTGAATGGGTGGGGGAGGGACAGGAGCGAGAGTGAATGGGTGGGGGAGGGACAGGAGCGAGAGTGAATGGGTGGGGGAGGGACAGGAGCGAGAGTGAATGGGTGGGGGAGAGACAGGAGCGAGAGTGAATGGGTGGGGGAGGGACAGGAGCGAGACTGAATGGGTGGGGGAGGGACAGGAGCGAGACTGAATGGGTGGGGGAGGGACAGGAGCGAGACTGAATGGGTGGGGGAGGGACAGGAGCGAGAGTGAATGGGTGGGGGAGGGACAGGAGCGAGAGTGAATGGGTGGGGGAGGGACAGGAGCGAGACTGAATGGGTGGGGGAGGGACAGGAGCGAGAGTGAATGGGTGGGGGAGGGACAGGAGCGAGAGTGAATGGGTGGGGGAGGGACAGGAGCGAGAGTGAATGGGTGGGGGAGGGACAGGAGCGAGACTGAATGGGTGGGGGAGGGACAGGAGCAAGAGTGAATGGGTGGGGGAGGGACAGGAGCGAGACTGAATGGGTGGGGGAGGGACAGGAGCGAGACTGAATGGGTGGGGGAGGGACAGGAGCGAGACTGAATGGGTGGGGGAGGGACAGGAGCGAGAGTGAATGGGTGGGGGAGGGACAGGAGCGAGAGTGAATGGGTGGGGGAGGGACAGGAGCGAGACTGAATGGGTGGGGGAGGGACAGGAGCGAGAGTGAATGGGTGGGGGAGGGACAGGAGCGAGAGTGAATGGGTGGGGGAGGGACAGGAGCGAGAGTGAATGGGTGGGGGAGGGACAGGAGCGAGAGTGAATGGGTGGGGGAGGGACAGGAGCGAGAGTGAATGGGTGGGGGAGGGACAGGAGCGAGAGTGAATGGGTGGGGGAGGGACAGGAGCAAGAGTGAATGGGTGGGGGAGGGACAGGAGCGAGACTGAATGGGTGGGGGAGGGACAGGAGCGAGAGTGAATGGGTGGGGGAGGGACAGGAGCGAGAGTGAATGGGTGGGGGAGGGACAGGAGCGAGAGTGAATGGGTGGGGGAGAGACAGGAGCGAGAGTGAATGGGTGGGGGAGGGACAGGAGCAAGAGTGAATGGGTGGGGGAGGGACAGGAGCGAGACTGAATGGGTGGGGGAGGGACAGGAGCGAGAGTGAATGGGTGGGGGAGGGACAGGAGCGAGACTGAATGGGTGGGGGAGGGACAGGAGCAAGAGTGAATGGGTGGGGGAGGGACAGGAGCGAGACTGAATGGGTGGGGGAGGGACAGGAGCGAGAGTGAATGGGTGGGGGAGGGACAGGAGCGAGACTGAATGGGTGGGGGAGGGACAGGAGCGAGACTGAATGGGTGGGGGAGGGACAGGAGCGAGAGTGAATGGGTGGGGGAGGGACAGGAGCGAGAGTGAATGGGTGGGGGAGGGACAGGAGCGAGAGTGAATGGGTGGGGGAGGGACAGGAGCGAGACTGAATGGGTGGGGGAGGGACAGGAGCGAGACTGAATGGGTGGGGGAGGGACAGGAGCGAGACTGAATGGGTGGGGGAGGGACAGGAGCGAGAGTGAATGGGTGGGGGAGGGACAGGAGCGAGAGTGAATGGGTGGGGGAGGGACAGGAGCGAGACTGAATGGGTGGGGGAGGGACAGGAGCGAGAGTGAATGGGTGGGGGAGGGACAGGAGCGAGACTGAATGGGTGGGGGAGGGACAGGAGCAAGAGTGAATGGGTGGGGGAGGGACAGGAGCGAGACTGAATGGGTGGGGGAGGGACAGGAGCGAGACTGAATGGGTGGGGGAGGGACAGGAGCGAGACTGAATGGGTGGGGGAGGGACAGGAGCGAGAGTGAATGGGTGGGGGAGGGACAGGAGCGAGAGTGAATGGGTGGGGGAGGGACAGGAGCGAGACTGAATGGGTGGGGGAGGGACAGGAGCGAGAGTGAATGGGTGGGGGAGGGACAGGAGCGAGAGTGAATGGGTGGGGGAGGGACAGGAGCGAGAGTGAATGGGTGGGGGAGGGACAGGAGCGAGAGTGAATGGGTGGGGGAGGGACAGGAGCGAGAGTGAATGGGTGGGGGAGGGACAGGAGCGAGAGTGAATGGGTGGGGGAGGGACAGGAGCAAGAGTGAATGGGTGGGGGAGGGACAGGAGCGAGACTGAATGGGTGGGGGAGGGACAGGAGCGAGAGTGAATGGGTGGGGGAGGGACAGGAGCGAGACTGAATGGGTGGGGGAGGGACAGGAGCGAGAGTGAATGGGTGGGGGAGGGACAGGAGCGAGACTGAATGGGTGGGGGAGGGACAGGAGCGAGAGTGAATGGGTGGGGGAGGGACAGGAGCGAGAGTGAATGGGTGGGGGAGGGACAGGAGCGAGAGTGAATGGGTGGGGGAGGGACAGGAGCGAGAGTGAATGGGTGGGGGAGGGACAGGAGCGAGACTGAATGGGTGGGGGAGGGACAGGAGCGAGACTGAATGGGTGGGGGAGGGACAGGAGCGAGACTGAATGGGTGGGGGAGGGACAGGAGCGAGAGTGAATGGGTGGGGGAGGGACAGGAGCGAGAGTGAATGGGTGGGGGAGGGACAGGAGCGAGACTGAATGGGTGGGGGAGGGACAGGAGCGAGAGTGAATGGGTGGGGGAGGGACAGGAGCGAGAGTGAATGGGTGGGGGAGGGACAGGAGCGAGAGTGAATGGGTGGGGGAGGGACAGGAGCGAGAGTGAATGGGTGGGGGAGGGACAGGAGCAAGAGTGAATGGGTGGGGGAGGGACAGGAGCGAGACTGAATGGGTGGGGGAGGGACAGGAGCGAGAGTGAATGGGTGGGGGAGGGACAGGAGCGAGACTGAATGGGTGGGGGAGGGACAGGAGCGAGAGTGAATGGGTGGGGGAGGGACAGGAGCGAGAGTGAATGGGTGGGGGAGGGGCAGGAACGAGAGTGAATGGGTGGGGGAGGGACAGGAGCGAGAGTGAATGGGTGGGGGAGGGACAGGAGCGAGAGTGAATGGGTGGGGGAGGGACAGGAGCAAGAGTGAATGGGTGGGGGAGAGACAGGAGCGAGACTGAATGGGTGGGGGAGGGACAGGAGCGAGAGTGAATGGGTGGGGGAGGGACAGGAGCGAGACTGAATGGGTGGGGGAGGGACAGGAGCGAGAGTGAATGGGTGGGGGAGGGACAGGAGCGAGAGTGAATGGGTGGGGGAGGGGCAGGAACGAGAGTGAATGGGTGGGGGAGGGACAGGAGCGAGAGTGAATGGGTGGGGGAGGGACAGGAGCGAGAGTGAATGGGTGGGGGAGGGACAGGAGCAAGAGTGAATGGGTGGGGGAGAGACAGGAGCGAGACTGAATGGGTGGGGGAGGGACAGGAGCGAGAGTGAATGGGTGGGGGAGGGACAGGAGCGAGACTGAATGGGTGGGGGAGGGACAGGAGCGAGAGTGAATGGGTGGGGGAGGGACAGGAGCGAGACTGAATGTGTGGGGGAGGGACAGGAGCGAGAGTGAATGGGTGGGGGAGGGACAGGAGCGAGAGTGAATGGGTGGGGGAGGGACAGGAGCGAGACTGAATGGGTGGGGGAGGGACAGGAGCGAGAGTGAATGGGTGGGGGAGGGACAGGAGCGAGAGTGAATGGGTGGGGGAGGGACAGGAGCGAGAGTGAATGGGTGGGGGAGGGACAGGAGCGAGAGTGAATGGGTGGGGGAGGGACAGGAGCGAGACTGAATGGGTGGGGGAGGGACAGGAGCGAGAGTGAATGGGTGGGGGAGGGACAGGAGCGAGAGTGAATGGGTGGGGGAGGGACAGGAGCGAGAGTGAATGGGTGGGGGAGGGACAGGAGCGAGAGTGAATGGGTGGGGGAGGGACAGGAGCGAGAGCGAATGTGTGGGGGAGGGACAGGAACGGGAGTCGGTTATCAAAACCTCTTGTCTGCCATGAGGGAGGGAGGAGGGGGGGCGGGGGGTTGGGGGTGGGGTGACAGACAGGTGAGGGAGACGGTTGTTAGGACTTCTTATCCGGCATGATTTCCATGCGGTTCACCTGCGGGGGGTGGGTTGAGATGGGGGGGTGATTGCGGGGGGAGGGACAGATGAGTGATGTGCAGGTGGCGGGGTGAAGGTGGGGGGCCCCTCATGCGGATTACTTGCTTCCCTGGTGCACCATTAGGGTGGATATGGGGGGCTGCAGGTGGGGAGATGCAGATGGAGGATTGCGGATGAGTATTAATGGGTGCTCGCTGCACATTGCTGGAAAACAGCAAGCTTCACCTTGAGGGTTAACGAAAACTGTGCTTCGATACCGTGCAGTTCGTATGTCCCTGGTACTAGCTTAACGTACTGATTCGGCGTACTGAATCGTGCGGTAACATTGACCGGACGTGGCTTCCCAGAATCGGATAGTGTGGTCGTAACCCGCCGTCGCGAGCACGACGGACAGCTGCGACATGGCGACGGCGTGCGAAAAGCCTACGACAACTTAAGCGACACGCTTGCGACGCGCCAACGAAATCAGGGGCCTTGACAAACGGCGGGACAGGGTGAAGAAACCTAAGATACAAAGTGGATCAGGCAAATGTCTAAATTAATCTTATTAGCCTACGTATGTACCGATGCGCTTCTTTATTAGCACCGATGCCTTCGTCGTGTTCAGGCTTCTAAAATAAGCCTTATTCGACGAGGCTCCTGTTAATTTCCTTCTGTGTCTGATGCTGGGAGAACAGCGTCAAGCAGACACCTCAAAAGGTCGAGCGATTTAGGGCGTGGTAATAGTGGCGAAAGTGCATGATCGCTACGAAACAACAACCCGGCTGGTACGCAGCCGAGGTTTGACGAAGTTTTTTACAAGGAAAGTGCGAGATTCGCAAAACACCCAGCAACCAACACGTGCGAAACCCTATTGGGTTGCTCAGCAACCTTATACATTTGCTTTCACTTTCAGGGAACTGACGTGAACAGTTATTATCCTCCAAAAAAATGGGAAAATAACTTGGTCACATAGTTACCCTAAAACTGGAAACAAATGTGTCCAATCATTCCATAATTGGACAATGACTCCGCACAAAAGACAATGATTCGAAAATGCACACTGGCAAACTTGAAAAAAAAATGCAAACTTTATGGAAAAATGGGGAACAACAAATTATAAAATTTAAACACACATAGTGTTTTTCAAAATTGTGTATTGTGAAAGCGAAGGTGCTTGTATTGCACAATTGGCATCGTCGAAGCGCGCTAAACGCCCTTCTCCAACTACAAAAACCGTGGGTTGGAGCTCATTTCCTCCACCCACGTTTCTCTATTTTCAAACGGCTCACTCAACCTTTCCGCTCACGTAGTTTATCCCTCCGTCCAAGCTGGCTAGGACAAAATCGCTTCCTAGAGGCGAGTCACCCTCGACTTTACTCAGCGACGTTTTTAACTTCAATCGCTCAACGATGGCACCGACTCCGACCGTAACACCCGCGATTTGGCGGGCGAACGCCGTAACAAGCGACGGGCAGAGGATGGACCACCCGCCCCGACTGCAGTGGACGTGCTGCTAGGCGACCTCGAGGTCAACAAAGGGGGCGACGCCCAGCAGCACCCTTCGGCGCCTGTGGCGCCAGTGGCACCTGCGGCGGAAGTGGCGACGGATGCTTGGCGCGGCACACGCCACTGACGCCGAGCACACGTTAGCACCCGCGGCTGGACCGTCGCGTCAGCGCCAGAGGAGGCGGACGGCGGTCTCCTCGTGTGACGCGACGACCGCCCCTGCGTTGACGCAGGCGTTGACCCTGGACCAGGTCAACGCGCTGCTATCCCTTCTACAGCAGCAGCCCGTCAGCGTTACAGCCGTGGAAACTGCACTACCGGCTGCATCTGCGTCGGCTAAAAATGAAAATTCGAAAAAGGAAAAAGTCACGCGGGGAGCAAGGACGAATCGGCACGGTAACGACGCAGCGACAGCATCGCCCCCTGCTCCAGCGGCCGACAATGACACCGACGACTCTGAAGATGAAGCCGGTGAGGCTTCAGTCAACAATGTTAATTTTAATGGCACGGAACACCTTCCCCCCCTCCCTTCTTCTAACCTCACATTTTCGGCGGCAACATTCATCAACGACTCCGTGCGAGAGCAAGCGGAGCTGCTGGAGGACTTGCGCGCGCACCTGCTGCACGCGGAGTACAAGGCGCAGAGCGGGGACCCGGCGGGAGGACTCGAACTCATCTCGGGGCGTTTCGAGGTGCTTCAAGTGGAGGACACCTCCGACTTCCGCACGGCGAAGCGCTTCAAGTTGTACCAGCAGAAGAGCCTGCTGACTTCTCGACCCTTCAAGCAGGCGGTCGCGGATATGGCGGCGATGGACCGGGCGGCAAGTGGATACGCTCGTGTCAACCGCGGCGGAAACAACGTGCCGATGCCGTTCTTACCCAAGCGGGACCCCCCGCCCACGGCCAATTGCCGTGGGTTTTGGGGCTCGTGCTTCCGTTGCGGCCAGCCGGGCCACGTGGCAAGTGCCTGCCCTAGGAACGGGCATGGCGGCCAAGGACCTGCTCCGGTGGTGTAGGAGCGGGCCATGGCACTAGGCGCTTGCGCGCTCGGCACGGTGCACTCTTGAGTGCGAAAACCGTGGGCAACCTAGGGGTTTGCGATGGCAAGAGGCCAGCCCTAGTGAAGGGTAGAAATAGGCTTTGGGCCTAGGATAGGGAAGGGGAACAACAACCCCCTCGGTCCCATGAAGTTGGCCACTCGGTGGCGTGATGCATGCTAGGAAAGCATTGCTATGTGTGTTGGTTGATTAATAAATAACTCCTTCTCAAAGGCCCACTGATTTTGGCAAAGTACCTCTAAAAAATCAAGAGGAGGTGCATAGCAAGAGAGAGAGAGAGAGAGAGAGAGAGAGAGTGTGAGAGAGAGAGTGTATGTGTGTGTGTGTAAGAGAGAGAGAGAGAGAGAGAGAGAGAGAGTGAGAGAGAACGAGATATAGCACGGTGGACAAGCATGTCCATGGCCTTGTTGTCTACGTACAGAACTGGAGGCGAACAAGTCAGTCAGCAGGTACGTGAGCCAGCGTAGCTCCTGTGCAGCCATGGCCACGGCGTAGATCTCAGCCTCACAACTGGAGCTGAGAACCGAAGACGAGTGGGTAGACCGCCAAGAAACAGAGCCGGAACCGAGGCTGAAGGTGTAACCCTGTGACGACCACTGCGTAGCTGAGTCGTCAACCCAAGAAGCGTCTGCGTGACCGGTGAGGACAACTGGACCCCGTCCTCCAAGCACAAGCCCCATGCCTGACGTACTGCACAAGTAGCGCAGTACCCTCTTCGCAGCATCCCAGTGCACCTTTCGGTGCCTACCGGGAGCCACGTAGCGAGCCAGAAGGCTGAGAGGGTACGCGAGGTCAGGTCGTGTGCACGTCATCAGGTACATGAGGCAACCCACAAGCTCTGGGTACGGACCACTGGGCTCTACGGACTCGTCCGAAGGTGGACCTGAGAGCGAGTGGCTGGTAAACAGAGGAGTGGGCTGTGGCGAGGAGAACTGGAAGCCGAAGCGCTGAAGGACCTGGTGCACCATGTGTGACTGAGTAAGGGTGATGGTGCGCCGTGCTCTGTCCCGGGTGATCTGCAAGCCAAGATAGCTGCGCAGTTCACCCAGGTCAGTACAGGTGTGTCTCTTCTCCAGCTCCGACTTCACAAGGGTCAGTGCCTCAGTGTCAGCAGTGGCACAGACGAGGTCGTCGACATAGACAAGGATGTAGAACGGCGGCAGCGAGGTGTCGGTGCGTAGAAACAGCGACGGGTTAGAAGTAGAAGGAGCAAACCCAAGAGCCGCAAGTGTAGTCCTCAGTGTGTCGTGCCACTTGCGATGCGCCTGGCGGAGACCGTAGACTGGCCGCCGGAGGCTCCACTAGGTACCTGCAGGAAACGACCCAGTGAAGCCAGGTGGGCGGCGCAGCCAGATCTCCTCGTGCAGGCTGCCCTTTAGGATAGCTGTGCTGAAGTCCAGAGAGTGCAACTCGTAGTCACGCTGAGAAGCGACGTGCAGCAACACCCGAAGAGTAGTCATCTTCGGGGTGGGGGAGAAGGTCTAGAAGTAGTCAACCCCCTGTCGCTGACTGAAGCCTCGAGTAACGTAATGCGCCTTGAAGGCAGGCGGAGAACCCAGCGGCCGCTTCACCCTGAAAATCCACATGCCATCGACAATGTTCGCCCCAGGTGGGGGAACCTCATCAACGTAGGTGCCTGTGGACTTCCAGGATGCCATCTCGGCATCCATGGGTGCCTGCCACTGAGAGGAGTAAGGACCCGTAATCGCCTCTGCGTAAGAGCGCGGGGTCGGGATGTCTGGTGCATCCGGGTCTCCCTCAGGGGCAAGCAGCATGGAAGCGAAACGAGGTACAGCAGCTGCAAGACACTCAAAGTCCTCCTGCCTGTCCTCAAGGACGTCTGTGCCAAGAGCACACTCACCCCCGACGGACTGAGGACTGGCAGACGCAGCAGACTTAGCAACAAGAGCAGTGGCGTAGTCTAGACGACAGGCAGCAGCAAAGTCAAGCAGCTCAGCAACGAGGGCAGACGCAGTAGCAGACTCAAAAGAAGGGTCGGTGACAGCAGTGGCGAGGAGATGAGAGACAGTGGGACTGGGAGCACGAGCGCGGTCAGACTCAGGGTCAGGGACCTCAGGAAGAGAGGACTCAGGAAGAGCAGGCAGAGGAACACGCAATGGAACAAAGGAAGGACAAAGTGCCATAGCGTGTGTGCCGGGGACAGGAGGAGGACGCGAACGAGGAACGCGACGAGCAGTGCGAACAGGCGAGACAGGACGAGACGCAGGCTCACGACGCTCTGTAAGACCGCCGGGGTGCTCAGTGTAAGGAGAAGGAGCACGCAATGGAGAGAATGGCTGTAACGGCGGCTGTGACTGGTCAGACGGTGGAAACAGTAAGGGAGGAGTAAGGCCAGTAGAAAACGGGACACCAAGAACCTGCTGAAGCAGGGGAACGAAGTATGGTCGCGGCCGCACAGTGCCGCCAGGGTCAACAGCTCCAGCTCCTCCAGCTCCAGCGCCACCAGCGCTAGAGCCTCCAGCTCCAGCAGCTCCAGACTCCGTAGGGTCACCAGCTCCAGCGCCCCCAACACCACCAGTCCCGGCACCACCAGTACCTCGGGTACGAGCACCTCCAGGACCAGTAGCCGCAGTACCTCCAGTAACACCGGCTCCAGCAGCAACTCTAGCACCTCCAGCTCCAGCGGCTCCAGTAC